AACATATGACGACATATTATTCCATGTTCTAGCAGAAGGAAGATTCATTATAATTCTGCACATATACAGTGACCTTAAGAGCCTCTACTCACCACATGAACAAGAGACAAAACATATGGCGGCGTATTATTCCACGTTCTAGTAGAAGATTCATTCTAATTCTGCACATTTGGTGAGTTCTACAACCGAACCCTAAGAAATCTGCCACTATATCCCCCAACCCCCAAAACACCCAGCCCCCCAAAATCTGGCCCCTAAAAGCATTCACCCCACCCCCCCAAACACCCCCCCCCCCCCCCCCCCCCCCCCCCCCCCCCCCCCCCCCCCCCCCCCCCCCCCCCCCCCCCCCCAAAATCTGGCCCCACATCCCCCCCCCCCCCCCCCCCAAAATCTGCCCCCACATCCCCCATCCCTCAACCCCCACCGCCCCCAATTCTGTGTTTTTTGTTTGTGTTTGTGTGAGTTGTGTGTCTATGTGTGTGTGTATTTATGTGTGTTTGCGTGTGTTGTGTGTGTGTGTTTGTGTTTGTGTGTGTTTGTGTTTGTGTGTGTTGTGTGTCTGTGTCTGTGTGTGTATGCATGGCTTTTTTTCCTTTTTTTTATTTGTTTTTATGGTTTTGATTTTTTTTTTTAAATACAGAAAGTTGAAAGAAAACAAAAAAATTGATGTTGTTGTACATCTTTGAAAGATCTACAACCCTATACTTTTTATTTGTTTTTTTTGTTTTGTTTTAGCCCTTAAAAAATCTCTGTGAAACCCGAGAAAAAAACACTCATTTCATTTTTTTTTTTTGTCTTTTTCATTGTGTTTATGTTTTTATTTTTTTTAAAATATACTAAAAGTTCTGAAAATAAAAATAAAAATATGGGGTTGTAGACCTCGAAAAGATCTACAACCCCATATATATATATATCGTCACAAACAGAACTGCCCGGTAAACTGTAGGCAGAGGGAGAGAAGAGGACAACAAACGAGGTATATATTTTGGATTAGCCCAGAAAAAAAATCATTGTGGACCCCATTTATACCCGTCCAACACGCGTTCCAACGGGGATTCAAGGTGAATTAAACGCGCGTTAAATCTTCAATGCGGATCCCCCGTTGAATCCGTTTTCGGACACACGGTGGAGACCTACCAACTTCAAATTGGCATAGGCAAGATAATATATGGGTTTTCACTCTCTTCTTGGACCTATTTCTTGGATCTTCACCATAAATGGTCAAACTCGAAAGCTTTTGAATAAATGCGCCATATGGCTAAAAGTTGTATACGGCAACCAGCAATAGGCTGAAGAGGTACGTCTCCGTGAATGATTATTTATCCTTCTTATTGATGACCATCACTGCAATGTCTTATACGAGACTGTCTTTGGTCCGAGCAGGTGTCTAAGTTGAAGATCACAGGTTCAAATCTTGTAGGATGCTGAATTATTTGGGAGAGTGGCTGAGTGGTTAAAAGTGACAGACTGTAAATCTTTTGAAGGTTATAGTTTTACGCAGGTTTGAATCCTGCCTCTCCCACTGCATGGCCTTCATACATTCATGAATTACGGAGGCCCCATAGTAGTTGGGGAGGGAAACCAACCTTATAGGCAGCAAAGAGGGTCAGTCAGATCTCGCAGACGAACAAAAGCCTTCCTCCCGATAAGATCCCCGGACTCCCGAAGGTCTTTCTTCTTCGTTGAAAGAACGCGAATTCTTGGGCAGATATACGAATCTAATATGTCTTCTTGCAGATCCTACATTCTTACTATATTGCTACGAGACTATCGAGAGTAAGCCTGGTAATATGACTCCTGGAGAGGTGTGAAGCGCTCTTGATGGACTTTTAAAAAAAAAATGGTTTACTCACTTAGCAACTCTTCTTCAACAAGGTCGCTTCACGTCGGATAAAGCGCCTGACAACCAATAGATTGAGTTGCAGACCCAACAATACAGTCCTGCATACTCAAGGTTTCCCCTGACAACATACTGTGTAGAACTCTGGGTTGCCAAAGTGGTTCAGGACAACTTACCTGGTAACAAACAAACAAACTGTTTGTGTATTAAAAAGTTTAAACTTTAAAAGTAAATTTTAATCCGGTGAAGATTTTTCTTTTCGAACAATCTCTTATCTATTGCACAAGCCGGAAATCAAACGTGGCATCCCTCGCATCAAGATGACAACCGATGGACCTGGGCAATGCATTATGGCCAATCCCAAACCTTTGGCCGTCAAGACTGAAAACGAACCAGAGTGTCCAGGCAATGATGACCTAGATATTCGGGCAACAGGGACTGTGAGAGCGAAGATCCCATTTGCGGGACCGTGAGAGCAAAGTTCCCATCAGCGGGATGCACAGTCGAAACGTGCAAAGCCTAAAACCGAAAACGAAAGAAGGCCCGTGCGAAAGTCGGACGACTGCAGTAATGTACATCTAGCCAAACTCGATGCACAAACTGCAAAAGAAACGGCGTAGAGAATCATAGGGCCAAAGGTGGACACACTAGCTTGTAACCAAAATGGAAAAGGAGTCAGAAGCATAATGATTTTATTCTTTTTGTTAAAAACAAACACGGCTAAACGGCACGGGAACAAAAGGATCGAACCAAAAACAAAAGAGAACATTTGGTAAAGAATTTCAATGAAACCCTGAGGCAAACATTGTTCAATTTATTTTCATCAATTTTACGCCTAACATAGTTAGTTTTTTTACTTTTTGCCTTCTTTTCTTTCTTTGCTTGGCCTGCCCTGGTCCTTGCCCGATCGGGCTGCGCTGACAACCAAGATAACATGGGCAGCCCAGCTGGTAGTCCAAGTAGAAATACAGTTGGCTTCTAAAATGCTCATTTCCAGCACCTAACATCCAATACGCCAAAAAACCATTGACGCCAACACTTCGCAACTGTGATTTTTTCTTTTTTTTTGACTCTTAGCGAAGCTGTTTTAAATCCGCGCGACGCCTTTTTCACGCTCTAATTTTTTTTTTTTCCTCATATTTTTCCTGAATAGATCACAACCTGGATCTCCAATTTTTAGATTTGTTTGTGAATTCTTCTGCACGTGAAAAATTGGCAAAGTTGGCGCTTGAAAATTGCAGGGACTGGACCCGCCAGTGCCTACCAGTCGCGCGCCCCCCCTCCCGCCCCCCCCGCAAAGGAATTTGAAAACATATCCTGTGACGAGGAATCAGATTAAGGCCTGGTTGAAAAGCAGGCAATATACCAACTGGCCTATGTAGCCTCAAAATCTGGCCGCTCATTTTGTGATTTTGTGATTTTGAGGACCTAGTGTGAGTATACTCTCAGTTGGTACACCCCTGAAAAATTGAAATACACACTCCAGAGTTCAAACTCCTATGGTCAACCGGACTCTCACCCCCTAGAATAGAGGGGGCTTTTTCATTTTATTAAATTATTTTATTTTTTATTTTTATTTTTATTTTATTTTATTTTAGAAAGGGGTGAGGAGACGGAGGATTTTGTAAGGAGGAGGTAAAAAAGAAAAAAGAAAAACACCTATATCATTTTACGAAGGTGGCTTTTCTATTAAGAAAAAAAAAAAAAAAAGCTGCAGGTTGTGGTGGTGGGCTAGTGATGGTTTAAGAAACATAGTCTTCCTTGTGGTTGGAGCCATACACACAAAGAATGTCTGCATACTCTACCTTGAAACCAGTCACATGCCAGCACATGGGGTCCTACAGAAAAACCTTAGGGTGTAGTGGTGCTGCCTGGTGGGGTGGTTTAAAAATACGTACTCTTACCTTGCGGTTAGACCCTAGGCTACCAGCCGTGCCGCCCGGGTCCCGGGTGGCCAGCCCGTGCAAGGACAAGGGAGGGTCCCAGCAAAAAAAAAAAAAATCCAAAAAATCCTTATGCAGAAAAATAAACTGAGCAACTTTTGCCTCAGGGTCACATCAAAATTCTTTACCAAATTTAAAATATAAAATAAAAATATAAAATATTTTTTATTTTTTTTATTTTTTAAATCTTTTTGGCCCGGCCGGGCAAGTGACCCCGGGCCACTCTGGTAGCCTAGGTTAGACCCATAAAAAACACAAACAATGTCTACTTTGTCCATACCTTGAACCCAGTCACATGCCGGCACCGAACACTGCCAGTCTGCCACCAAAGATATCCACACAGGAGCTCCGGACTAATTATCACCAACTCGTACACACAGGTGAGACCCATACACACAAAGAGTGTCTGCTTTGTCTATAGACTCTATACCTTGAACCCAGTCACACGCCAGCACTGCACGATTCCACTGAAGATATCCACACACACAAAAGCTGAGAGGTGACTACCACCTACTCGTACGCACATACATTCATACCTCTGCATAGACAACTCGCTTATTTTTCGTATGCATATGCATACATGAACTGGTACGTTCCTCACGCAAGAACCTTTGCGAAAGTACTTTGATAACAATTACAGATGCACTCGGTTGAAAAACTTATAGCATAGTCGACGATTTAGCGACAATAAAAAGAAAAAGAAAAAGAAAAAGAAAAAGAAAAAGAAAAAAGGTGGCAATGTACTGCAGTGGCAAGAGTGAAATTACAAGGGATTCAAGCGCCAAAAGGGAGAACGATAAATGTATCAGAGAGCAAGCAATAAACAACGGATGCGCTGATGATAGTTGCTATCGAAAGGGTTCCACGTGTGCATGTGGTTCGACAAGATGCAGCATGTCAGAATAATTTGCTCAGAACAGTTACACTTGCAACACGGTAGGGTAGAACAGGGCAACGCTTTTACATGACAGCAGTGCAAACTGACCTGGAAGGTCAGCGAAATTGTGCGGTCTGGAATCACCATGAGCACAAGCATGCGTGGTGGCCGCAGCGGACTCTTTTACGAGTGCATGCTTGCGTGCACACACTCCACACACACACAAGAGAGAGAGAGAGAGAGAGAGAGAGAGAGAGAGAGAGAGAGAGAGAGAGAGAGAGAGAGAGAGAGTTTTCTGATCATGGCCGCAACCACGCTGCATATCTTTGAGCCATGCTAGAGACTATTATGGGTTTTATCTTTTGAGTAACACACTGCAAACAAGTGGAACAAGGGCAGGCAGGTATAATTTGCCCACACTGTAAATTAGTGGACGAGGGACGAGCAAGGCTTTCAAGTCTAAGAGTAGAACTAGCTGAAAGAAACTATTGTTGATTCAACTTCACAACCAAGAGAACATAGAAGCATAAGCACAGGGAATTCAGCAAGCGCCTATACCTTCACGGAGCTGCTACCTAACTATACACTAGACAGCCATTGCTACATGAGAATTTTAACGCAAAATAACAGAGTCAGTAAATCAATGTAAACCATGCCGTCGAAGCTCTTTAAACACAAGACGCCATCAAACCTCGCCAGCTGCTTCAACATTTTTCCTTGCATCAATTCATTTCATGTCATTGATCAGGGTTTCCAGTGCAACTTTCCGTCGTTCGGCGAACATCTTCGCCAAATGCTCTAGCGTGCCCTTGAGATTCGACAACTGCTCAGTGCTGTGACTGTCATCGCCGAACTCCACCCCAACTGACATTGAGCCTATGTCTAGCCAGCCCTGAAGATTGCTAAGGAACCTCTTCAGGGCCTCAAAAGCGCCGTCCATCGTCATCAAAGACGGATGAACGCGAAGGAATTGCAGCACGAGCGCTCCAGCAAGCCCATGCAGCCTTCCGGCTGTCAATTCCATCACTGTCATTGGAAACGCAACTGTACAGAGCAACCCGCGGAGGGAGGTGGCGACTTTGTTCCCTTGCTTCCAGGGTGCAGAACCAAGTAAACTTCGCAGCTGCCATGCGAGCGGGGCAAGCTCATTGCAGAACATTTGGAAAAGCTCTGCCCTTGAGGGATCACCTGCAATCGGCACCAACATGCCCGACAAGAGAATCAGCACCACGAGGTCTGAATCGATGACAACTTCAGGGCAATGCTTCTCTCCTTCACCCTCAGGGCTCTCCTCACCGCTCGATGCCCTTCTGATGCCCCGCTTTGGAACTCGTTCCCACTCCTCTCTCTCTCTTTCGCGGCCCTTCTCGATCACCATCAACAGCTTTTTCAAGACGAGCTCGTGTATGCGAGCATAGGGAAGCAAGAGCCCCATCTTCGCTGCCAAAACTATCCCTCCCTCTCCTGCGCAAACCCTCTCTAGAAGAGCCTCAGCTTCCTCCAGGCCAATTGGCACCTTCCGTCTTTGCTGAGCAGTGAACGGGTCCACACCGGACTCCGTCAAGCGGGCGAGAAGCGACCACCCTCTCGCATTTGCACGGTCAAGCAGCTGCAACGCGTAGTGACTGCAATTTCTTTGTGACATCTCCTCCAGAAGCACACACCAGCAGCGGTGAAGTGCATAGACCGGGATGATATCGGTCTCATGCTCCTCGATTGTCTCCCATCCCTCGTCACCGGCTTCCTCGGCTTCAAGCTTGGTTTCCTCTTCGGCACCTTCCTTCTGTTCCGTGCCATAATCCGACTTTTCGTCGAAGACCTCCCCCCAAATCTCTAGCAGCGAGCCTAGCGCACGCAAGTGATCGGGAGTTTTCTGACATTCTAATAACCGCAAAAAGAGCAATTCGGCAGCATCATTCGATCGCAAATCCGTGAGCCGGATCTCCACTCCCTCCCAGAGAGAGCTCACAACATCCATCGACCTGAGAAGCAACAACGAAGATCCCTGTTCGCTTAAGCCTCCCAATCCACCTTCTGACAATGTACCTGGGGGCTTCCACTCTCCCCATAACCCTCCAAGACTGCGGTCAACTTTAGCAAGGTCAGGGCTAAAACCCCCCTTCCCGCTTTCCTGGGGTGAACTCAACGACTCGAGGAGCTCCAGCACCTGTATCCGCATCCGCATTGGGGCAGTGAAGTCGTCGGCAAATGAACGGAGCCTCTCCCAAATTCCCAGCCGAATGCGGTCTCGCTCTTCCACCTCCAGCCACTCTGTTTGTTGCTGCTCTGCCAACGAAACAAGCACACCCTGCACAACTCCCATGCCTGAGAGGGAATCCCCACCTATACCCCCACCAAGCATACCCTCCAGCTGCCTGCCTCTTTTCAAACTTCCATCCAAGGACTCGAGGTACAGGGACATAACATTCCATGACCTCCCTCCCTCCTCCCCAGCCTGTGCACTTTCGAGCGCCCTCATGACCCTAATCACTGTTTCCAGACTGCAGCCACTGACAACCATGCCTCGAAGGACACGGTCCGCTTCTCCCCCGGATCCAATGGTCGGGATCGCATCCATAACTCCTTGTGCCTGCTTCCTTGTCAGCATTTGACTCTGCAACATTTCTGACACCACTTTGAGAAACACTGCAGCCTCTGTAAAAGATGCCGCAATCTGTTTTCCTTCCTCCCCCATCTCCTCCTTTTTATTCCAGAAAATGTTTCGTCCATCATCCGCGACACAAGCCCAGAATTTCACAGTCCTCTCTTCACCCTCTGGTTCCATATCTCGCCTGCTCTCTTTCATCACCCAACGAAGAACATTCACAAGATCGCTTGCAGCCAACTTGGCCAAATGGCAACAGCAAGCTTTGTACCGATCCTCCCATCCGAGGCCCTGGTCTTCTGGCACATTCTCTTCGCTGTCAACTCCAACTTCAAAGAGAACCTTCTCCACCATAGCCAGAAAGACGGCACTGGATGACGGCAGTCCATTGCTTGAACCGGCCCTGCCACTTGGCTCAACCCTTTCCTCTTGTCCTCTCACAACCGCTGCAAGGTCCTCTACCACTTCCGCCAAGCAGTCCACGTTGTCCAGCGACACATGTTTCCTGATCTCTTCAACAGCTTCACGCGCTGGAGCAACATGGTCTGCTCCAGCTGCGACCACCAGCTTCTTCAGGTCAAGAGCAGGAATCGATTCCTTCACTTTTGCACACACCATGATCAGTCGCTGTGCGTTTGCCAGGCAATCCTCCAAACTTTCTCCAGTTTCCAGAACTGCACTACCGCTCGGCAGAGCCTCTCCAGACCCCTCGACTCCATTCTTCACTGCCGTGTAACAGCTCTCAATGAGGGAGTAGTAGCACTGAAGAAGCGAATGATGGCTGCCACTAAGCTGAGGGTACACTCTGCATTGCAACCTCTTCACGACCTCCACAGGTCTTGTCAGCACGCCCTCTAGAGAATTGGCAAGCATTGCTTCGACTCTTTCAACCGGCCAATCGGACAAAAGGAGTGTCTCGGCATGAGACATAAGAACCTGAAGCCACGTCAAGAAAGACAACACAGCGAAAATGATTCAGAACCGACACACAGAACAAGAACACACAACATAAACCAAAATCAAGGACGGAGGTACTCGGACAACAGCTGCTTGGAAAACCAGGGATAAGAGATGAGTGCAGCACCCGTGGGGACATTAAGACCTGAAGCCACATCAAACACAGCATAACGAAAGTGGTTCAAAACCCAGACACAGAACAAACACTCACAACACACAAACCAAAATCGGAGGAGGAGGAGTACTCGAACAACCACTGTTTCGAAACCCATGGATAGGAGACAGTAAGGGCCAGTTCGACTTCACCCACATGACACAGTAGGTCAGTGCCTGATCATGTCACTCTAACACAGGGACAGTGAATCGGTTTTTCAAGAAATGACATGCAAATGCATACCTATATATAGTTAGACAGTTATACTGTGTCATGCAAGAGAGAGAGAGAGAGAGAGAGAGAGAGAGAGAGAGAGAGAGAGAGAGAGAGAGA